AAAAAAAAAAAAAAAAAAAAAAAAAAAAAAAAAAAAAAAAAAAAAAAAGAACTTGAGGTAAGGGGAGGTCTAGATATGGACAATTGGGAGCAACTGTTGTATTCTCTAATTCTTCTATAGTATTTGCCGTCTAGCCCTTGACTGAGATATAGCAGCTAACTAGTGGCAAAGGGATCAACATATATGTATTCGGCTATGTGTTGGTGGCAGTTAGCCTCCTTGGCAGGTTGCATACCTTGAATTGTGCATGAGGTGTACAGGTTCCTATTAGTTTAGGTGCTGGTACATCCGCCCATTGACAAGCTATGTTGGCGAAGTTCGCGGTAGGTGGCCAAGTGTAGGAGTTGCAGGGAGGGAACGTTGGTGACGCAAGAGGTACTGTATAGCGGGGATATGTGCAGTCGCAACACGGCGGAATTCCATCTGGAAAAAAGAATTCTAAGCGAAGTGCAGCAGAGGAAAAGGTAAGCACAGTGCGTTGCGTTGTGATTGTTGGGATATCCACCACTGTGAGTCCTGGGGAAGAGAGGCATCGCTCACTCTACGGGCTGGTAGTTGATTCAACCCCTGCCAGCACAGAAATTGGACGACAGTGGAGAGGAGGGACCGGAAAACAAGTCGCCCTAGATATAGAAGATCTGGACGCCGAGCAGAAGTGATGGCGCAAACAGCAGCTTGGCGAGCCCGTGAGAGAGAGCAGCAGGTCACCTTGCAACTGGGGAATGACAACGGGGCACACTTTCAACATATTATGGTATAACTGCCTAGAGACACTTGAAACTGAAGCGACCCACAGGAGCAGCCAAAGCGGCAGCGGCCGACTCAGCACCAACGGCCGCGGCTGCAGCAGCTGCACCAGGAACAAATGCAGCAGCCAGACGAAGCAGCTATAAAGAGAGAAGCGGTAGAACCAGCAGCAACAGGCACAACAGAAGCTGAACGAGAAGTGGCAATCACTAGCAGCTGACACAGCAGCAGCAAATGCGTGATAGAAAATGCAGCAGCGACAAGGTTCAGCACAAGCAGTAGCCTCAATGGAGCTGGATTCCATAACGGCAGGTCGTGCAGCATCGTCATCCCGTGCACAGACAGCAGCAGTGGCAGCATGCGAGGCAGCAGCAAGCGGTGCTGCAGGTGCACCTGGAGAGGTAACAAGGACCAGTCATGTGACTCCAGGGATCATGGACTCTATAGCACGAATTGGAAACAGTTGAGGGATCTATGTGGTATCTATTCAGGCTCGGGAGCGAGCACTGCAATACATCTCCCTTTGAGCCTCTAGCGACCTGTCCCGTGAACCGAACACAATATAATGCAATATTAGTTGTAAATCAGACCGCCTAGGCAAGAAATAAGGCCAACTGGCTACGAGTGCTCCGCAGCATATCAGGGTCGTGGGGCTGACAAGGTAAACGACGCACCGATCCCCTAAGGAATTAGTGTTACATATCTCACTTTTGAGTAAATAAGGGGACTACAATCTCTTCTGGGGTCTAACTACGTCGATGTAGAAGGTTCCAACTTTTTTCGTCGAGGAATCTTTGTCATAAGGGCTCCCTAGTGTACGTCGAGGAAGCTGAGAATCGGTAGTGAAGTATACTAGGGGCGATACACAAAAGCTGAAGTTGCACGACACGACGAGGCAGTTTATTCACTCGTGCGTGGCCCTGTAACGGGGAACATCTGTAGTGGATGTCGTGGAGATCAGTACGATCGGCCTTTTTCCTTTCGGGAAGAAGCCTGTATCCAGTATGGCACTTGGCGCAGCTTCAGGCGGTTTGTTTCTACAATCTCCCTTCAACTCTGCATCCCTTGGGAGGAACGTGCCTTGATAAACCATAAATTGTACTCGTAAGAGCACAGTTCTTGCGTTCCTGCATGGTATCTCAGTGCGACGCACAACGAGACCGTGGTATCTCAGGACGACGCACAAGGAGACCATATAGTAACTTTCGAAGGACGTGAGGGTCTGTGTAAAATTCTTTCTCTTCTCTACTTATGCTTTTGGATTTTATTTGTTCTGCAGAGCTAAAAGTATATCTCCAGATTCTCCCCTAGCGTCAGAACGGTAGTTGCCACGCTAGCTGAAAGTAGCGGAAGTCCGTATCTGCGGATAGTAAAGCCTCGGGTCCTCCGAGGCGTTGGGCTGCTTGTGCAGCAGAGTAGCTCGGCCACCTGCGTGAAGAATAGGGGCAAGCGAAACTTTTTGCTGAGGAAAAAGGAATCGATAATAAATGACCAAATTCTACCATGAAGAAGGGCCGTTCCGGGAATTGAACCCGGGACCTCTCGCACCCAAAGCGAGAATCATACCACTAGACTAAACGGCCGTGGCCGACAGCTCGATCAGTCAGGAGCTACGCCGCTCTCATTGCCATTAAAGGATATTTTTAAAAAGGAGGAACCTTTATTATAAGTTCTCAACAACGGGGCCCTCTTGAGGCATCAATTCATAGACCCCATGTAGGAGCAACGCCACCGTTGCTTTCGGGCAGAGAGGAGCTTTGGGGTAAGAACTTTTTCTATCGTAATTCATTCTCTTGTTCTGCCCAGTTGAGGCTGTATTCAGTGGGCAACAAAAGCATATAATCTGAAGACCCAGTTTATCAC